AAAAAAAGTTAATGTGTGGGAGGCAAGGGTGAGAATGCATTTTAAACATAGACTTTTTTTTAGATCTTAAAGTGGACCTTTACCCCCTTTTTACTAAAAAATCACATCAGCATACAGCTCTGCATGTTGATTTGAAATCATCTTTACACTCATTAGTTAAACAAATTTTTTTTTCATTTACTTACAATTAAAGTTCGTCCAGTTCTGGCACAAATGTTGTAAGTGCCAAAGTGTTGCATCTTGGGAAGGTTACATCAGCAGAGCATTGCCAGGAAATCTCAGCTGTAATCTCACGAGATCTCAGGAAAAGTCAGTTTCCTCCCCTGAGATGATGTGCATGGTCACATGTCTAGTCATGAGCCAGAGTTCAAGGAAGTAAATGGAGAGCTAGTAATCTGCCCTTAGTTAACATGGCCTCTGCCAGAAGACTGGGAAAGAAAAGAGAAATAAGGTATGCAACGAATACAAAGCCTGCAATTATCTATAAGCATATGTCTGTAGATTGCCCATACTAAACATTTCTGGTCTGTTTGTTATTTTAAAGACATGGGTAAAGGTTCTCTTTAACATATTTGCTGACCACTTAGACTTCCTTCATGGTTAATTACTGTTTTATGTTTTAGCCAGATGTATAAATGATTAACACAATACACACAACATGTCTGAGTCTTACTGATGTGCATTTCTGAATCATGACAGCATTACTGTTCTCAACAAATTATGGTAACCTTCTGTTATTTTGAGGCAAATACTTATGTTAAAAAGTTAGGTAAACAAGATGGTTGAATTGTTTTTTTGGTTTTTTTTTAAATAAATATATATATATTTTTACCCCATTATTGATGTAATTAGCGATGATACCTTTGAATATATGGCAGGTTCTGATATGACATATGGGGGGTTTAACTGGAAACTAAATTTTAGATGGTACCCTGTTCCTCAGCGTGAAATGGACCGGAGACGAGGTGACAGAACTCTTCCTGTGAGGTAAGGAGACTCCTTTTAGTATTTTCCTTTTTTTTTGCACTTTTTTATTATGTAAGGATATAAAGTAAATACATTGACACTCTCGTACAAAAAAGAACATATATTATCTACATGCAGCAGGATCGTACACTATCCTTATCTATATCATGTTTAACCACCTCTAGCGGGGTCACATAAATACACGTCACCTGCTTGAAGTGGTTATACCCGCTGCAGCCGTTTTCTTGGTACCGTTTTAAACAGCAGGCGATTGCTCTTTATGTACAAGTACAGTATCTACAGTGTGGCTCTGTGTGCCTGATTTCCCCCCTCTTCTGCCACCATCTGTTTCCCCGGGCTACGCTGTCCCCCAAGGAAACTGGCGGCAGGTCTCCTGACAGATGGGAGGGCGATCAGCAGCCTTCCAGCCGCTGATCTCTTATCCGATCACTGGACTCGGAAGTGATAAGTATTGCATCACTTCCAGTGTAACTGTAAACATTTTCCGGCTCTTAGAGCCAGGAGAAGAAGCTGGGGAAGCGGATCGAAAAACTGAAATTGCGCCACACATGTTGTAACATTGACGCAAATGTCGGAGTGAGAGCAATAATTCTAGGGCCATCAATGACTGTCAACACTAAGCTGATGAGCAGTAAAAGCTTTTAAAGCGTCACCTATGGGAAATTTGGGGTATTCTAGTTTTTTTGCCGTTTCATGGGTGCACGCAATTTTAAGGCTTGACATGTTTGGTATCTATGTTCCTGGTGTGACCCCATATTTTATATTTTACCAAAAAATTGGGTATTCTGTTTCTATGCACTAAATTTCATTTTAGTGTATTTTATCCTAAAAATACTGTTTTGATAAACATTTGCACAAAAACCGTGTGACATAAACAATTACAACTAGAATTTTTTTTTTTTATTCTAGAGTGCCCCTGCTTTTAGAAAATATATAATTGGGGGTTTGAAGCTGTTTTCTAGCCAAAAATTCTGATTTTATCATGTGTGTGCAAATGTAAGACATTGCTCTGCACAGCAAGTGGTTAAGATTATTTCACTGTTTGTATTGTAATAAGTTTATTTTTAAGGCATGATTCCTTTTCACTACTGGCTGGTGCATGCCCTAAACAAACATGACCGGGATTTTTATCACCACCATTAGAGCCCAAATCCAGGTAAAACTTTTTTTTTTGTTTGTTAGAATGGGGAGGGTTTAGAACAGCAAATCAGCCACAAAGTGGTAGGCCACGTAAAATGACAGAGCGGGGTCAGCACATGCTGAAGCGCACAGTGCGCAGAAGTCGCCAACTGTCTGCAGAGTCAATAGCAACAGCATTGCGTAGAGAGCTTCATGGAATGGGTTTCCATGGCCGAGCAGCTGCATCCAAGCCTTACATCACCAAGTGCAATGCAAAGCGTTGCATGCAGTGGTATCAAGCACACCGCCACTGGACTCTAGGGAAGTGGAGACGTGTTCTCTGGAGTGACGATTCACGATTCTGTCTGGCAATCCGATGGGCGTGCCTGGGTTTGGCGTTTGCCAGGAGAACGGTACTTGTCTGACTGCATTGTGCCAAGTGTAAAGTTTGGTGGAGGGGGGATTATGGTGTGGGGTTGTTTTTCAGGGGTTCGGCTTGGCCCCTTAGTTCTAGTGAAGGGAACTCTTAAGGTATCAGCATACCAAGACATTTTGGACAATTTCATGCTCCCAACTTTGTGGGAACAGTTTGGGGATGGCCCCTCCTTGTTCCAACGTGACTGCGCACCAGTGCACAAAGCAAGGTCCATAATGACATGGATGAGCGAGTTTGGGGTGGAGGAACTTGACCCAATTGAACACCTTTGGGATGAATTAGAGCGGAGACTGCGAGCCAGGCCTTCTCGTCCAACATCAGTACCTGACCTCACAAATGTGCTTCTGGAAGAACTGTCAAACATTCCCATAGACACACTCCTAAACCTTGTGGACAGCCTTCCCAGAAGAGTGGAAGCTGTTATAGCTGCCAAGGGTGGGGGTGGGCAAACTCAATATTGAACCCTACAGACTAAGACTGAGATGCCATTAACGTTTATGTGTGTGTAAAGGCAGGCGTCCCAATACTTTTGGCAATATAGTGTATATTCCCTCCAACTCCCATAAAGTTTCAGTGCCCTAGGAGGATAGACGTCTTTTCCCTTTGGAAAGTATTTGTTTCTTCAGTCAAGATGCTTAATTATTCTGAGCAGCTATCTGGATTGGCTAATCCTCTGCACTTTGGGGGCCATACCTGGACCCCGTAATGAAGATGCAGGGTTCTGTCTTTAATGTGGCCTTCAGGTACTGGGCTATGCTTGTGATGCTTCGCAGACACTTCATCTACCGGTTTGTCACAACATGCATTACTGGTGCAGAGCCGTGACACACTGTTGTAGTTTGATCCCTGACAATCAGGGAGTATGCTCACATTAGGGGGAAAAATGCCTGGAATGTGACCTATATTCACTGGGTTCTGCATACGTCGCTCTCCAGTACTTAATTAATGTGCTTGTTAGCCACAGAACACCCTCCAGGCCTGTGATTTGATAATTCTGAGGTTTTACCCCTTTATAATCACACGTACTCCTGCTTTTCCTGAAAGAGTTCATCCTCTTGAAATTTTCATGCCGTGTTGCACTTACTCTCACACTACATCTTCCTACCTTTTACATCGTGAGATGGTTTCCACCACTGTTCTCCTCAGCAAGGGTCATGAGTTTGACTCAGTTTGTCCTTGATGCTACCAAGTCAGTGACAATGTCACCTCCCTTCATTTAACTATACCTGTTTCCTGAGTTGGTTGTCAGTACCCCTAGGTGCTTTTGATGTGTGTAACTTTGGTTTATTGTACCGCATTCTAAGTGCAAAGGGTCCCGCAGGCCTCTCCAGCTCGCGCTCCTCTAGAAGCTCACAGGTATCCTGCGGCAATCCTCCTAGAGGACCTGAAGCCAACAGCGTTGTCCCCTGCCTGAATCCACCCACTCCTGAGTCTTCCGTAGCCCCCTCAGGTGTGGTTTCCTCTTCAGCTTTACCCAAGGAGGAGTTTCTACAGCAATCCAAGATTTCATGACTAAAATCAAGGCCATGATAGCTGACTCAGGGGGCTGAAAGCATATTTCTAAAATCTTCCTCTAGCATCTGTCCTCTGTCGTTCCTGCAACTGCAGCAGCCTTGCAGCTGCAGATGATGAGTCTCCTTCATTTTTAAATGCATTTATGTCTGAGGAGCAAAAGTTTGCTGACATAACTCCTAGGCTTAAAGATGCCAACTTGGTTCTTATTGACGCAGTCCCTTGTAGGCCCCAAAGCTGTTAACCTTTCCAGTACATTCATTGTTTTTCTATTTTGTATAGAAATTGGATAACTCCTGTATGTTCCTCCAAAACGCTTTAGTCAGCAATATCCCCTGGAGGAGGAGTTTACTAGAAGTGGACAAATGTAACTGGCCCGTTCTCGTTGTGGACCCAACCATTTGCTTAAACAAAACTCTGACTACTTCTGTTAAGGACATTCCAGTGGTTGAAGACAAGGCTGACAAGCACGTGGAAACCCTTTTCAAGTCTGGATTTCCTTAGCAGGTTCTGCCCTACAACCTGCTATTGCTGTCATAGAAATTTTGTGGTCTAAGGAAATGAGAGCAGCAACCATCCATATTGACCAGTTGCAGCCTATGCCTACTGTATTAGTCTACTGTGTTGATGGCTTTATAAATTTTGTCTCATTTCAGAATGAGGCTCCTGTCTAATATGTGGAGGACTCTCTGGCTTAAATACTGGTATTGTGTGCCCTTTGATGGTAGTATCTTTGTGGCTTCTCTTGACAAGTTTATTAAAGTCACTGGCATTAAACATGAAAAAAAAGTGCCTTTTTTACCACAACAAAAGAAACCTAAGCCTCTTTCTAGCAAATCGCACTCTGCCCCTGGAAAAAAAAAAGGGCATTTTCTCCCAGACTTCAAACTCCAGGTGAAAGTCTGGAACCCAGTTTAGTCATAAATCCTGGACTCTCAAATCCTCCAAGGTTATGAACAAGTCCTCCACACAATGAGGGGACATTCTCAGTTAGGAAAGCGAGGAACGTCTGTTAGCCTTTGTGGATCCCTGAAACACCAGTGTTTCTCCACATGTCATCTCCACCTTATTCATGTGGTAAAATTTGCCAACCTCCCTGCAAAGACTAACAGATCTCATTGCTGCACTGGGAGACCTCATTGATCAAGGTATCATTGCAGCTGTACCTTAAGTGGAAAGGTTGCAAGGCTTTTATCTGCATCTGTTACATCCTGGATCTCAAGCCATTTAATGTCTTAATTTGAGTGCATACATTTCACAGAGTACAACAGTTCAATCATAGCCTCCCTTCATTCAGTAGACTTTTTGGCCCCTGTGAACACACACTTGCTTGTCCCAATCTTTCTAGCACATCATCACTTTCTGCATTTGGCTATGGGTACACAACAGTGCCAGTTTGTTGCTCTTTTGGTCTGTCTTCTGTACCCCGAGTGTTCACCAAGGTGCTAGTCTTGTTGCATTATGAGGACATTCCCAAATCTGGATGACCTCCTACTAAGAGAACAGTTGCACAGACCTTGTTGGACAATGTCAGTTTGACTAGCCAGACTCAAAAGGTTTGTTTGGATCCTGCAACTTGAGAAATCTTCTCTGGAATGAATGCATCACATCAAATGCCTGTGTCTGACCCTTGACTCAGTCAAGAGTTTTCCTTTCACAAGGGAATCCCCTAACTCGGGGATTGACATCCTTGGCACCCCAGGTTTTGTGGAACTACAAGTCTCATGATGCATTGCAAGACTGCAATTACGGTGATTCTCATCACACCAAACTGGGCCAGGAGGATGTGGTTCTCAAACCTCATCTGTCTCCTGTCAGACACCTCATTTTTTTTCTGTTATACCATCCGGATCTTCTGTCTCAAGGGTCTGTTTACCATCCTCCTTCAGTCACTGGCTTTGATGGCATGGCTGTTGAAACGTCAGAGTAAGGGACAGCCTGCCTCCCTTTCCACTATATCTAGGTGGTTTAGGCTTGTTGTCTTGCATACCTACCGGCTTAAGGATAAGGTTCCACCTTTTCCAGTTCAGGTGAATTCTTCCAGATCTGTGACCGCTTCCTGTGCTCTTGGGCCTCAAGCTTCTGTCCCATATCTGCAAAGTCACCGCCTGGTCATCCTTTGGCACATTCTCTAAGTTGTACCAGGTGAATACCCAGGCATCTGCAGCTGTGAACTTTAGACTTAAGGTCCTTCAGTCAGCCATTAAGCTGCAGGCTACCTCCAGTGTTTTTTCCACTGTTTGTTCCATTGTTTTTGTGGGCTGCTTTCAAGACTTCAGTATTTCGGAAGTCTACTGATCCTGTCTCCCTTAATAAGAAAACAGGATTTTTGTATTTCCCATAAAATATTATTCTTGGGTTTTGTCAAGAGACACAGGTCCCACCCCTCCATGTTTATGATCTATTCCTACTACTGCTTTTCCACAAAACTAAAGCATTATGGGAATGAGAGACTATATAAATGGCTGTCCAACAGCTTTTATGTTTGCCAGTGTTCAATTGTTCCTAAAGGTGGTAGTATATTTAATGTTCCTGAATTATACTGATCATATGCCCCTTGATGAGTTTATGGTGAGTACAAATGTATTTTATTTTTTTGGTTAGGCTAGGAAAGGGTTAGAATCCCAGTCAGGTTATTATTGCTGTTTGTGTCCCGTATGGGAAGATTTATCTTCATATTTTTCTGTTAACTATTATCATTTGGGGGGAAAATCCAAAAGTTTGAGTTGTCACCAGGCATAGAGAGGACATTTTTTACTGGTACGCCCATGTTGGTGACTGCCTAAGAGTAGACTTTCCTCACTTTGGGGAGATATGCTCTCACTTTCTCTTGTGAGGAAGTGAAAACTTCCCAATATGACACAGAATGCAAAAATAAAAAGTTTGGTTTTAACCCTTCCCTAATAATAAAAAAATTAAAATATGTATAGATCCTTATCTCCATCCTTAATTTCAATTTGTCAAGCCTCAAATTGTGAACACGTGAAACAGTGAAAAGCTATGGTTCCCAACATTGTCCACAGGCTACACTTTAAAAGCCTTTACAGCTCATCACTTTAGTGTTAACAGTTAATGATGGTCCTAGAATTCTTGCTTTCACTTTGGGGGGTTACTGTGCTCAATCAGCTACTGCCAGAGCAACTGGAGATTGAAAGAGCTGAACTTCGAAGTGCTCAAACTGAGTGTTTCTGGGTTAATTGTGTTGATGTTTGCTGATATTCCACTGCTCTCCATCCTGAAACCTTCCAGGTCCTAGAAAAAGTGTAAAGCGGTCAGGAGTAAAAGTGTAAAGCGGCCAGGAGCTGCTATAGCAGAGTTTGTGTACATGCCAGCTCTGCCGCTGACATAATTTAGAGTTAAATAATGACATTTACTGGAATGTTTTTTTAATTACCTGGGCCCCCACTGCATGCTGTGGCTCCACCCGTGCCAGCTTATATGTCTGTACTGTGTCCTGTAGATATTGAATTTAAAGTGAGGTTTATTTTTAAGCTTTTTCAAAATCTGCTAAATTACTTACAATGGATGCTGCTCTTTTTATGATTAAAAGTTTCAGTTTACTGCAGATACAGCTGTTTCCCTGATATCCTGTTTTAGGATAGCTCTTTCCCTTGTAGAGTTCTATGGAACCACCCTTTAGTGTGCTAGTAAGCTGTGTATGTCTGCACAAACACACAGACATAGCACAGCAAGCCACTCATCTTCTTCCTGCTTCTCCTTCCCCAAGCTAGTAGATGGACAGTTGCTGGATGCTGCTCTGTCCCTTGTGATCTTGTACTGGGCTGAAAGTTCAGGGAAACATCAGAGTTGGGGCCAGCTGTTCAGAAACATGATGAATGTAAATGTTTGGGCAAAAAATTTAAAGAAATACTTTTCTGAACAATGTACATTCTTAGAAAAAGGTTTGAGGGCTTGTTCACACCATGTCCGGACCAGATCTGGATGCATTTTGACATGCAGTGCGTTTTTGATGCGTTCCAGAGCACTTTTTCACTTAAAGTGAACTTTCAAGTGTGTTCCAGTGCATTTGCATGTGGTTTTTATGCGTTAACAGGCCAGAAAAAATAGTGAATGCAGCATTTTCCCCCTGCACCAGAACGGACTGCACTGTTGTGAACAGAGGCCAGAAATACCATAAGAATACATTTGGATGCATTCAGGTGCGGGCAAAAAACACTCTGGTCTGGAGATTGTGAACAAGCCCTGCTAGTTTAATACTACTCTAACAGATATGGCACAATAGCGTAATCATTTGTTTGCATACAGCAGTCTTGTCACAATTTTACTCGTTTCCAAACTGAAACTGATATTTGTAAAATACTTGATAGTCATCAGTTGCCAATACAGATTTAGGGCCCGTTCACACTATCCAGTACGTTCAGGGCATGGTTCCGTGCCATGAACGCACTGGATCTCATACACAAACCCTCCCCATGTTCCGGAGGGGTCATGGTGGTGCCTTTCATTTCAATGGCACCGCAGACATACCTCCCACCCATCAGTTTGATTGCCTGCACCGGAGTGCGTGGTACCGCAATCCCCTGCATTCCCGTGTGGCGAGATCGCGAAAAAAGTGCATGGCAACACCACACCCCCAGCCGCCCCAGAACTGGGGAATGTATTCAATCCAGTGCATTCATGGCACGGAACCATGCCCCGATCACACTGGATAGTGTGAATGGGCCCCTAAACTGCAACATTTTGCCTCTTCTCCTGATGACATGCGAGTGTCATATCGCTCTGCCCTAGATCTTTGCTTATTGCTGTCAAATCCACTTTTCTTTACCTTCTAAGTATATACTGTATTTATGTACTACATTAGCCTAAAATTAATTAAGAAAAAAAGCTGGACCGGTAGCTTTATTCATGGCTTATAGAACAAAAAGCTTTTATTGGCAACCTTCATTCAAATATATAGGTAGCATGTATCCATCCATTCTGTATCTAATATGTGTACATTTTGAATCATGTTTATGTATTGAATCATGGACTATTTTGTTGAAGGTTTCTGCTTTTGCTTTTCTAGGACCCCTACTATGGCAGGAGGCCTCTTCTCAATCGACAGAGATTATTTTCAGGAGATCGGAACTTATGATGCTGGAATGGACATATGGGGTGGAGAAAATTTAGAAATATCTTTTCGGGTAAGTGTAACCAAGAACAGATCTTCTTCTACCAAGTATGTATTATATTTTGTGCAATTGTGCTCACTGGCGTTGGATAACCTTAAAAAAATGAGAATTTTAAGCTTGCATATTAATTTTTTTTTTTTTGTAGATATGGCAGTGTGGAGGTACACTCGAAATAGTCACCTGTTCTCATGTTGGTCATGTTTTTCGAAAAGCAACCCCATACACTTTTCCAGGTGGAACAGGGCAAATCATCAATAAAAACAACCGGAGACTGGCAGAGGTGTGGATGGATGGATTCAAAAACTTCTTTTACATAATTTCACCTGGTATGGCTCACTTCATTTTATATGTCTTTTAAACCTGACCTGTCTCAAAAGTGTTTTTAGAATAACAACATTGCTATCAATGACTGCCTGTGATCTGGCAGAAGATTTCCAGTGGTAGTCTAAACTACAGTTGAGAACAATTGCCTTAAAGGAAAACTATACTTTTGTATATCTTAATCCTAACTTACACGCCACACCCTTGTACTTACCTTAGATCAAACTTGTTGGTAGATGGCTTTTCCAATATGTCTTTTTTGGAGTATAGGCTACACACATGCATTGCAACACAACCCCACTGACTGATAAGACCAAAGTGCTGCTTGAGGCAGGTTTCTTGGACCAGGCTACCCACTGATCTAAAGTTAAGTACTAAGGTAAGGTGGCAGTTAATGGAAAGTATAGTTACCATTTAAAATAAACCTGACCTTTTGTATAATATTCTTCTTGGACAACATTGTAATGCCTGTTACCTAATGGTTACGCAGAGATCCCTGTGGAATCTTCTTTGATATTGTGGCCAGGCTATATGTTTGTGTATGCATTGTTAAAATACAGTTGTCCTTAGTATGTTTCTAGACTAGAAATAAACTCAGGTGTTGGGATGACAGCTGTTTTATATATGTTACATGTTATCATTCACTTAACATAACATACAAAAAAAAAAAAAAAATGTGGCTCACATTTCACTTGCGGTTTCCTGAAATATGTTTTTCTCTAAACTGAATTTTCCTCTAAAATGTAAGTGACTTGGGGAGATTAATGTTGACATAATTAACCTCGTCTGTACTATGCTGACTGATCTCCTTATCAGTTGTAAACTAGATTTGAACACTGTCTGTCCTAGTAAGGGGTAAGGGCCTGTTTACACTAGCCCATCTGCTAAAATGCAAAATTTTAGTCAACATGCTGGTGCTGTGGCTGCTCCAGCAGTGTGTTGTATTTCAGGTATGCTGTGTAAATAGAAACGCATAACAAACATGGGGTTTTCTCAAGTTTGACTGTAGACATGGAACTACACCTTAAAGGTAGGTACCTACATTTTAAATCTTGAGGAAACCCCCAGCATTCTAATGTAAAAACCAGCACTTGAAAACCGGGTGAGAATGACCACCTTCGGAGCATGCACCTTCAAAAGTGAATCAGCAATGGTAGCTCCTATTTTACTATTATGACAGATTACAAAGGGTTTTCGTTTAAAATACACACATACAGTTAAAAAATTTGCTCCAAAACTAATCGAAGACAACAATTTCTAGGCAATGGTAGATAAATAAGAGTATTTTAAAGTGTTATTTCAGGTTGTGCTATGTAACTCAACTGTCATGTCTTAATGGGTTTTTCCAATTTCACAAACTACTCATGCAGCCCATTTGTCTGTCAGCTGTCATTACCTTCTCCCCAGTTAGTCGGTCTAATTCTACATGTGTTTATATTCCAAAATGCGTTTTGTCACTGTGGCAGACCAAGTGGTTTAGTGTTTTTACTTGAGGAAAAATAAGCTTGATCAAGTATGGTAAATTATATTTTGGTACATTATTCTAAATATCTGAAAAAAACTCTCCATGTTGCTTATTGAAAAAAACATAATCCTCATTTTATTAATGCTTTTAATCGCTCCATTGGATAACAGTGACAGGTTATTGCTACTCTGCTATAGCTTTTAAAAATGCCTCATATAGCCATGTGAAAAAGTAAGTCCACGGATATTATTTTGTTTTTCAACATATTTGAATACAAAGGGAACATTAGATCTTTATTCAAACAGTGCCTACAGATCTAGGTAATATATTTGAATAAATGATGCAAAGAATTGAAATGCAGATTTGTCACATGGAAAGCATTGTTTTGTTTTTTTAACCAGTTTAATGGTGCAATTTTAGATAGGGTGAGGGGGCCGTATTTAATAAGCATACCATGAATTTTAGTGCAAAGTACAGGTCCAACTGTACCTTAAAGGTTGCTAACCCATCCCTCCTGGGCTAATCTATTCTAATGCACCCCAGCTGCTTATCCACATATCGCTGCCATTGCCTCCTCTTAAGTTCACAGCCTGTTCGATGAAGTACTCTGTAGTCCTGGCATACCTGGCTGTAGATACTCAATATACGGCCCCATTCAAGTCTATGGGGCAAATATCATGAAAAAGAGAAGCTGGGGTTTTTTAGGCATCTAAATGACAACTTCCGAAACCAATAGATTATAAAAATATATTTATTATTAGTGTTAAATTATTAAAATGAAAGAATTAATTTTGTAAAAAATGACAACATGATTGTATATCTCCCTAAAAGCTCACTCCATTTCTGTTCTATACTCCATAAGTAACATGATTAATTGGATCACAATGCATTATAATAGAAACCAATGGTTGACATGATTGGATAGTATAACATTACAGAAACATGATGATTTTGAATATTGTGTGGTACCGCATTCAATGTTAAACAGTGGAGGAGCTTGGTTTTCTCTCAACGTTTCGCGCTTAGCGGCGCTTCTTCAATATACATATTCTCTTTTAAATACATCCGGAATCGCAGCGCTGAATACTGAAAAATGGCCTGGCCAGGAAGGGGGTCTAAACACCTGGTCTTGAAGTGGTTAAATTATGTAGACAACCTCCCTCTCCCTCCCTAGCTTTTCTTTTTCATTATATTTATCCTTCAGGGGTGTGGCATCCATTGCCCAGATCCAGGTCACTTAATTTAAATTCAAGTCTATGGGGCATGGGCAGCACTGAAGAGAATTTTGTCAGACTGACTGTAAACACTATAGGAGGTCTCGGCAGTACTCGGTAAGCAACTGAAGTAGATTAGTTTATGCAGATTAGATTGGGTATGCTGGGGTGATGGGTGAGCTATACTTTAAGTAACGGTACTGCTTTCCTGCATCTTGCAACTTTATTTTTAATTTTGTATGTAAATACATTAATGCTATTATTATCTCTGCAGGGGTGACTAAAGTGGACTATGGGGACATAGCTACAAGAGTAGGCTTGAGACACAAACTGCAGTGTAAACCATTTTCATGGTACTTGGAAAATGTTTATCCTGATTCCCAGATACCTCGCCATTATTTCTCTCTAGGAGAGGTAAGAAATATCCATATTTCTATGTGGTCTCCTTGTTGCAGCAAACGTGTTTTTAAATTTGAAATTGTTTAACTGTTTAATATAAATAAAACCTACGTACTATTCTTAACCTGTAGAATCCAATTATACGAACAGCTAAAAAATGTTTTTCACATTTGCTCTCCTTGTATAGAATAGGAATGTCTCATATATTTTGTCTGTATTTTTGTGCAGTTAAGCAAAGAGATTTGCCAATAAAACACCTTTAGGCCATGAACATGCATAAACAATCCTGTTGCTAGTTAGGGGCGGACTGTTTGGGCACTTGGGCAGTACCCAAGGGCTTGTGGCCAGTAAGGGGCACGGGCCTTTGCCCTTAGGGTTGCCGCCTGTCTGGGATTCGCCCACACAATTTGGGTTTTGAGTCCTGTATGTGCTGTGTCCAGGTTTTTATCTGTCAGTGTTTGTAGCCTTCTAATAAAGCAATGCAGTTCAATATTACACCATGAGAAGCTTTTATGTTTCTGTTTGAGCTTGGTTCACAAGCCTTCGATAAGAAATGAGGGGGAAGTAGAGGCTAAGAAAAAGTGATCTTGTCTAACTGAAACTAAATTGAAAAAGGGATAACACCGGAGATTTAAGCGCTTACGGCTTGTCCTATTTTAGGGTAGTCCTATAGGTTCTTTGGGCACTATTGGATGTGGATGGTGAATCATGCACACTTATTTCACACTGATGCATGTCCCTTTCCTCACGTTTTGGGAGTGCAATTTCTTTACTAATTGGAAACTATAGAAAGAAAATCACAGTATTTGGCCCTGTTTGCTTTATTTTATATACAGCTATTCCTCACTTAACGACCGAGTTCCGTTCCTACGACCTGGTGGTTAAACTAATTGGTAATTAAGCGAGGAACTGTATACAGTACTGTATAGTGTTGATGTACAGTACTGTACAGCAGGGCTCAAAATTTCAAGTCCTGAGCTACTAGCCAGGCCTTAAGAGTTATTCGACACCTTGCCCCACCTAACTCCTACCCTGCCCCGGCCTTAACTCCGCCCCTAAACACACTCTCTTAAATTATCTTATGAAATTACACTTTTAAATGTTATATGCAGAATAAAGTTACAAAAATAAATATTAACAACAATATTAACATAAAGCAATGTAAACATTGCTGCCCTCCACATCCCCACATATAAAATAATACCCTCTCCCCTGTTCTCTGCCCCCGCATATTAAATAATACCCCCCTGTTCTCTGCTCCCCACATATAAAATAATACCC